TTTCCAGAAGGCCGAGAGCCGTGGCAGTTCTGCCAGGCAAAAAACGATTACAACTGTGAGAATTGTTGGCAGAGTTGCCACGCTAGGGCACAGCTTCCCAGGCACCAGGAAGGAGCCAAAGCAACAGAAGCGGTTGCGCCCTGGCCACCCCTCCCAAAGCTTCATGTTGGACTTGTTCCAAGATCCTCCAAGAACAAACGGAAGGTTTCCGCAGGTTGCAGGGGAAGACTGTCAGCCGATCAGCTTGAGCCAAATGCCATTTTGATTCATTTTTCACATGGAGTATGGGTCACATTTTGAGGCAAAGGCCATTGATTTTAGCATAATCTTAGCCATGTTTTACTTTGACACACATCCATGTATCTTTCGTACTCATATGTTTGAAATGTCAGCCAATTTCCAGCCAACTGATGCGGGCGGCGCCTACGTTTGGCCGGATGAAGCCTCAGCTGAAGGTCTATCAGGACAGCAAGAGGTGTTGCAGGACTACAGGACTGTGAAATACCGTGAAAATGTCAATAAGGCATGTGAATCGTATGAATATTTTGAATGCAAGAATCTGCAAGAAGAACAAGATACCAAAAAAAGATGTCGTTGACCAGCAACAGCTAGGGGATGTGCGACGAGTGTGTCCTCATCACAGCCATAGTCGCCCTCATTCCACTCGTTGCCGCTATAGCCTGCTCCACATGGCTGTGGGAGAAAAAAAATGGAAATCTATCTGAAGGCTTTGCGGACTTGAGTTCTTACCCAAGAACAAACAACCACGAATTCTGTATACTAGGGTGCCCACGTGCCCTGCCTCTGGATGCGTCATAGCCCTCATCGTATGGCGGATAGGCCCAGTTGTGCACAGGCTGAATCAGACCGTTGCAGTAGGTGTCTCCTGGGACAGAGGGAGCACTTTGCGAAGAGCCTTTACAGAACCTCCGGATTGTCTGAAAATAGACCCAAAAATCCCGTAAGGTTTCATCATTTTCCATTCAGAAAAGGGCGTCCCCCTCTCTTTCCATTCTAGCAGATACTAGCATTGCAAATTTGGGGTATTCACCCCTTATGGACAAACTCGCTGTGTAGACGAAAGAACTTTGTTTTTCCATACAATAAGAGGTCAAATCAACTGTAGTTAGGGTGCAGATGTGCCGAGATTTTCACCGTGGAATTCCTAAGTTGATGGGTTTCCACGGCTGTCCTTGGTTCTGCTTCATGTCGGGGACGGAAACAAACCTGCAGTTTTGCGTGAAGCCCACCTTGCCTCTCAAACATAACAAAATTGCCAAAGTATATATATATATACATATATATATATATATAGGTAGTGTCACTAGCCGAGAAAAGAATACCCATGGACTTTCACACATACCCAGCCAGCACACATACTCTGCATTTTTGACATCTTTTGACTAGCTCCTTCTTTATCTTCTTTCTTCCCAACCTTTCCAGTAAACATTCCAAGGAGACATGATGACATGATGTTCCATGATGTTCCAATCCATGTCAAGCAGCTGAAGGCTGCCACTCATTGTGACGTAGGAAACAGCTGCGAGTTGTTCCATTGGCTTCACTGGTTTTTGTACTACATGAGGAAATTGTAAGCAGAACTACCTTCTGTATCTCTCCATAACCCCACGTGCCACATTGGCTGCGGGAACGCCGACAGCGGTACACGAGGCTAAGCCGAGGTTTCCGCGAATCACAGAGAAGCAAGCAAGAACTTCAGCAAAACGGTTCACATGGCGACTTACACTAGACTTTACACTCTACGCTTTACACTCCACACCGCACACTCTACACTTTACACACTCCACTTTACACTTTACACTCTTCCCTCTACACACCATACTTTATACGCTACACGTTACACTCCTCACTCCTTACTGCACACTTTACACTCCACACTCCATACTTTACACTCCACACTCTACACTTCACACTCTACACTTCACACTCTACACTTTACACTCTACACTCTACACTCTACGCTTTACACACTACACTTTACACTCTACACTTACACTCCACACTCTACACTTGAAACTTTACACTTGACACTCTACACTCCCACACCTTACACCCTTCACCCTGCGGGCTCCTTTGCTTCCCAACAGCTACCTAAAAGAGCCTCACTCCACATTGCCTGCCCACGCCCCAAAGAGCCCGCCCAAGCCACCCTCCAACCTTCCCCCCATCGTACACCCCGCCCCAGCCATCATGTTTCCATACGTCATTTCCAAGCACTCCACATAAGTACTACATGAGGAAATTGTAAGCAGAACTACCTTCTGTATCTCTCCATAACCCCACGTGCCACATTGGCTGCGGGAACGCCGACAGCGGTACACGAGGCTAAGTCGAGGTTTCCGGGAATCACAGAGAAGCAAGCAAGAACTTCAGCAAAACGGTTCACATGGCGACTTACACTAGACTTTACACTCTACGCTTTACACTCCACACCGCGCACTCTACACTTTACACACTCCACTTTACACTTTACACTCTTCCCTCTACACACCATACTTTATACGTTACACGTTACACTCCTCACTCCTTACTGCGCACTTTACACTCCACACTCCATACTTTACACTCCACACTCTACACTTCACACTCTACACTTTACACTCTACACTCTACACTCTACGCTTTACACACTACACTTTACACTCTACACTTACACTCCACACTCTACACTTGAAACTTTACACTTGACACTCTACACTCCCAGACCTTACACCCTTCAACCTGCGGGCTCCTTTGCTTCCCAACAGCTACCTAAAAGAGCCTCACTCCACATTGCCTGCCCACGCCCCAAAGAGCCCGCCCAAGCCACCCTCTTGTCCCTCCAATCTTCCCCCCATCGTACACCCCGCCCCGAAACTCCAATCCGTCCCCTTTGTTTTTTTCCTTCCATTCCCTCTCTTCTTCCATTACTCTTTCCAAGTTTTTCCATTGTTCTGTTATGCTTTGATTCCATTTTTGCATCCTTTTACCCTCCATTCCACTCACCTCCAAATGCACGTCGGAGGACGGACCAGGGGGGAATCGAACCCCGCCGTCACCCAATTGCCACCTGGTACATCAGCCTCAAAATCGACCACGGTGGCCACCCTAATTAGGTGGGGAAGTGCCTCAAAATCGTCCGTTTGGAGACGACCACCCCCCAGACCCCCTATTCTCACTTCGTTCGCAATGAGCAACTTCGCCATGCTTGACAGCTGGCTTTCGTAAAAAATCTGATGAAACCATTCACATACCATTCACTTTCCATTCACATGCCATTCACACCAGACCAAAATCATCCTTTGTGAAATGACCTGCATACTTGCTGAAATCTGGATGAGCCAATTGAGCCAAAGCGCTCCAAAGGTAATGGCTTCAATGAGGAAGGTGAGATTCATCACCTCATTCCAACATTTCTGAAGATATAGACCGCTATGTATATGTATATATATACACACACACTTAATTATATCATATCATATATACAGTCATTGTCCACCACCTTGAGCGTAGAAACACACCACCTAATGCATCCTGATGCTTGGCCATGGTCATCCTATGTCATCCTGGAAAGCCAAGTGGGTATTGCTCAAAATTACACCATCATCTTGTTGGTAAAAGCCATGACTTGCTTTTCTGGGCTATATGATGCTCTATGATGCTCTGTGCGCAACATGCACAATCTGTTGAGGCAGTGTCAAGTTGCACCCTTCGCAAACCCTCTCTGATACGCCACATCTGCCACTTTTGAGGTCTGAACCACTGGTCTTGTCCACAAGACATTGTATAGCTCTGAGCGGCAGGTGGCCTGCGGACATTCCGCAGGTTCGGAATTTGAAGCCTCACATTCAAATTCCAAGCAAAGCCTATATTCAAAGCCTCTAAAGGCATAACATGGCATAACATGGCATAACAATGTTGGAATGCTCACATGTTTCTATGCAAAGAGTGGATCAAATGTTTCCATGTCCCCGGGGTCCGGTCAGCCTGGCAAGCTGCACTGCGGAATGGTCCTTGAAGATGGAAAATAGGCACGTGCGCTTGGCCTAGGGTCGGATGCCATCGGTTCTCGGATCGTCTCAAGGTCCTATCAACCTCTCCCACGGTCGCGTTGCAGCAACCTTGAGTGGTTCACCTGAGTTGACCTGGGAGACTTCACCGAAGTAAACTGATAAAAGCATAACAAAAAGATACAAAAAGCATGCAACCAGGCTCAACCAGGTGGCCAAAGGCACAGGTCAGCATGACTCGCCAGTCGCGCCAGAGCCAGTGTCGAAGAGATGGTGCTGCTCCCATCTCCTTTGCCAAAGCAAACATGTAGTATCCTCAGCTGCCCGTCACAACAGCTGGAAATGAATCGACTTGAAACTGAGTCTGGGGCCATAGTCCACACCTCAGATTTGCATAGTTTTTGTCTGTGCAGATGTGCAGATCTGTGCAGGTAGTATATGATGTTAGGCTTTTCTGGTGCAAAAGTATCCAGCAACTTCGTCCAAGCAGCGGCGCTAGAGTCCTGGGCTCCTGGCCATAACAGAGCCTGGAATCGGTGAGTCTATAGCAGGAGCTGTCCAGAGGATGTCCCTCCTGGCGCAAGATGACATGGCGTCGGAAAATGAAGGACACCGTGGGATACCCAAAAATTATTGACAATAAGAGCAGATTTTGGAGACCCAAAACATCCCAAAACATCCCAAAACATCCCAAAACCCAATTTTTTGCCAAAGACAAATGGGACCATGCGGTTCCCAAGCTGTCCTTGACCTTATCTTCCAGCAGGCGACACCACCACATTGCTTGCATCTCTGCCATGGGTGGAATCGCACCTGCAGAGGATGAAAACCCAATGAACTTGTGCGGTGAGGATTGATGGAGATGAAAATCACTGAAAACATCTGAAAACACTTGGGCAAGGAGACTGTGTCAAAGTTCCAAAATCATGCTCGAGATCAGCAAATTTCTGGCAATGCATGGACATCATGGACTTTTTTTTTGTTCAAGCTTCAAACTGCGTCGACCACGTGGCTGGCTCCGGTGTTCGGATTCCAGCCTGTGACGCCGGGAACATTATCTTCGGGGCAGGGGCTCGGGCACTTCTCCGGAGCATCGGACATGCGCTCATAGGTGGCAGGGCTGACTTGGAACCAAGGAATGCTGATCTCTGGGCATAGTTCGTCAGTGGCCAGGCCCTGCTCCAGAATCTCTTCGTTCACGTCTAAATCCATCGAGGCCATGGACTCTGGGGCCCCCTGTTGAAACCAGTCTTTGAATGTTTTAAAACTGAATTTAGCACCTTTCATAGAGCTGGATCGTTTCTTCATGTTCAGGCCCCTGGCCAGATTGTGAAGCTGTTGCTCCAGCATGGAGGTTAGGGCAACTGTGGGTGGGGCAATGACGATGGCCATTCCCAAGGGCACCATGGGGATGATGCCAAACACGGCAGCAAGGACTACGTAAGCCATACACAGAATTGCCAGCAGTAGCTGCAGCACCACCTGGACCCTTTCCACACGCCGCATTTGAGACTTTCGGGCCTGGCAGCAGACGATTCCGATCACCAGCACAGCAGCGGCGAACACCAGCCCCGCAAGTACTTTCTCAATCGTGGTGTGGATGGAGAGAAGGTGATGGTATTCTGTTCCCAGAATACCATCAATCGCGGAAATGCTCAGCAACAGCCATCCGTTAGGAAACAAATGAAGGAGCGATGATTGCGCGCTCCAACCTTGGTGGTTTGTTGATTCTCTGGTAAAAGTCTTTTCTACTAGTGGGTTCATGTGGCTTATGCATGCCTATGTATGCTTATGACTGCTTATGTGGTAAATCCATCTGACCCCCAAAACATCCGAAAACACGAAGAGTCTAAATGAATCTATGGCTATCCAGCAACACAGTTTCCAATCCAATAGCAGTGGTGGTCGAAATCGCGCACGCAGTTGTCGCAAACTTTGCAGTGCGAGGTCCCCGGCAAACGCCTGACCTGGCAGGTTGTGCAATTCTTCAAGTGTTGGATGCGCTCATCCTCCATGAGTGAGCACCAGAACCATTCAATCCTGTTCATCTGGAACTGATCGGCCTCATCGTCCTCGTCAAAGTACGGCATCTTGTCGATTTTCTTGTTCATCTCGTCTGCAAAATTCGACTGCACCCTTTTTCGCTCTTCGGATTCCGCAGGGCGCCAAGGCTCCAAAGGGCGCCCAGGCGGCCTGCTCACAGATGCATACATGTCGCATAACTTCAGCACTGTCTTCCGGCCATCCTTGGATACTGTGAGGGCGGGAAGCATAGATTGCCTCACCTGTACCCCCGGCTCTGTTGCCATGGCCTGAAGAAATCCAAAGATCACTCCAACCAGCAGCAGCCCGGCTGTCACCACAACAAGAATTTTCCAGAAGGCCGAGAGCCGTGGCAGTTCTGCCAGGCAAAAAACGATTACAACTGTGAGAATTGTTGGCAGAGTTGCCACGCTAGGGCACAGCTTCCCAGGCACCAGGAAGGAGCCAAAGCAACAGAAGCGGTTGCGCCCTGGCCATCCCTCCCAAAGCTTCATGTTGGACTTGTTCCAAGATCCTCCAAGAACAAACGGAAGGTTTCCGCAGGTTGCAGGGGAAGACTGTCAGCCGATCAGCTTGAGCCAAATGCCATTTTGATTCATTTTTCACATGGAGTATGGGTCACATTTTGAGGCAAAGGCCATTGATTTTAGCATAATCTTAGCCATGTTTTACTTTGACACACATCCATGTATCTTTCGTACTCATATTGTTTGAAATGTCAGCCAATTTCCAGCCAACTGATGCGGGCGGCGCCTACGTTTGGCCGGATGAAGCCTCAGCTGAAGGTCTATCAGGACAGCAAGAGGTGTTGCAGGACTACAGGACTGTGAAATACCGTGAAAATGTCAATAAGGCATGTGAATCGTATGAATATTTTGAATGCAAGAATCTGCAAGAAGAACAAGATACCTGTGAGTTTGGTGCCACCAAACTGATCCATTTACCACTTTGCCAGGTTGGAACCACAACATGCAGCTGCAGAACCACATTGGGCGTTCTCGACGCGGCCTCTTTGGCTTTTACGTGTCTTGCCTCTGGACAACGATTCCAGAGGGCCCTCTTTTGAGCCTAGCATTCGAAGCTACGCATGACAAAACAGATAGCACTCCTGCTTTGCATTTCGTGTTTGCACTTAGAGCGGCATAACACAACAAGATATCTTTCCATATCTTCGCATTGGTAGCGGAGCCGGCAAAGATCCGGCTCCAGCCCGCGCTGCCATGTCGACTTCTCCGGCGAGAAGAGCTGCTGGCGGCGGTGCTGGATCATCTCCTACCTCCCCAACCGAAACTTCTCCATATGTCAAGGACTCCTTCGTGCCGAGGTTTGACAATACCATCAGCGGCTACAAGGAGTGGCGGAAAAGGGTTCAACTGTATGCCCGTAGGCTTGAGCTGCAAGGTCGTTCAAAAGAAGTTGCCATGAATGTTTTGGCAGTACTTGAAGGTTCCAGTTGGACGCAATGTGAAGACATAGACCTCAAGGAACTGGAAGCCGAAAATGGCCTAGATGTGTTGCTGCGACGGTTGGATTCGAAATGGAAATATGAAAGGGTTGAGCTGGGTTCCATATTTGACACCTTCTTCTTCAAGGTTCAGCGAAAGCCCAACCAATCTCTTTTGGACTATGTGACTGATTTTCACCAAGCCCTACGTGATGTTCAGAGACTGAAGGTTGATCTTCCTGAGGAAATCACTGGATGGCTCATGTTGCGCAGAGCAGCCTTGGCCAAGGACCAACAACACCTCGTGCAGTCCCAGGTTGGCAAAACGTTGACACTGGGAAACGTGGAGCAAAGCCTTTTTCTGGTTTTTGGTCAAGACTTCAAGCAATCCAATCATCAAAGTCACCGTGGAAAATCATTCCCTAAGGGGAAGGGTCGTTCCAATGTGCACCATGCAGAAGATGATGAACATGAGTTCCAAGATGATTGGAATGAAAACTACATGGATACCTACTACGAAAATGATGATGATCAATACTATGAATGTGATGAAGAATGGGATGAAACATACTTTGGTTCACAAGTTGACTGGTCTCCCACTGCCTCTGAGTGGAATCCGAGCGAAGCTGCCGTCGAAGACGAGTCGCTCTTCGATGTGGTGGAGTTCGATTCCGTCTACTCTGCATATATGCCGATGCCAAGAGCCGACTTGCACAGTTGCGCCAAAGCCGTGGCTTCTACCCGGTTGTGGCGTTGGTGGACGGAAAGGGTTCCAGCATGTCTCAAGGCGGGGGTAGTTCAAAGTCTAAAGGCCAAAGTAAGAAGGGATCCAAACAATCACCATATCCACCAAAAGGAAAGGGTTATCAAAGCTAGAGGAAAAGCCATAGCGGGGGATCTAGTTTGTTTGAGATGTGGCAAGACTGGCCACAAAGCTGCAAACTGCAAGAGCTCTTCTGCTGCTACCTCTGGTGCCTCTTCTCCTACAAAGAAGCGTCCCATCGACCTTGACCCGATGGTGAACATGGTCTTCCAAGCTTCTGGCGATGAGTTCCATGAGATTGAGGAGACCTACATGCAAGGCGAATCTGTGGTGCGTGCTGGTGGATGGGTGACAAAGGAGCCCGACATGTGCATTCAAGACCAAGGAGCCTCTTCTTTCCTTGCTGGCAGCGAGTACATCTTGCGATATCTGAAATGGTTGGAACTTCAGGGATACCCCATGGACACCATCTCCTTCAAGAAGTGCAACAAAACCTTCCGTTTTGGCGGCGATGCTGATGGGCATGCCCGCTGGATGGTTGAGTTGCCCGTGCACTTCGCCAACATTTCAGGTCGAATGCGGTGCTTCATCGTGTTCGGAGCCACCCCAATGTTGCTTGGACGCCCAGTTCTTGAACAACTTGGTGCTGTAGTGGATTTTGGAAGTGGCAAGATGCGCATCCTTGGTGGCCGATGGACCGAGATCGAACGTGGCAAGCAAGATGCGATGCTTCTGCGACTTGCTGCAACCTTCAACTCCATCGAGGACTTCGAGAACCCGCAGTTCGACCTCAGAGCCAAGGATGATGACCACGATGATGCATGCTCTTTGCAAGATTTTCTTCAAGATCTACGTGCTGCCGAGCGCTATGAGGAAATGATCTCCGAGGTCCAATTCACCGACGACGCCTCTGAGAATGAGTTCGTTGATGTTGAGACCTATGTGAATGTGGATGAGCAGATTCCTGAGGAGCACTTTCATGCCCATGAGCTGACTGAACGCACTCAATGCTCAATGTCGAAGACCTGGTCATGGATTCAGGGTCAACAGGTTGAAACCTCCAAGAAAGCAGCCCAACTTGCCTATGAAGCTCGATGCCAACCTCACCCACGAAAGAAGCTCATTTGGGAAGTCTACAGTGGCACTGGCCTTTTAGGCGAACAAGCTGAACGCCTTGGTGCCGATGTGATGCGTTTTGGACTCAACAATGGATGGGACTTCTCCAAATTAGCACATCGAAAACGTTTGATGGAACTGGCTTATGAGCTTGAGCCGGATGAGATCTACATGTCTCCCAAGTGCACACTTTGGTCTCCCATGCAGGCCATCAACATGCGTTGTGAAGCTGATTGGGACGAACTTTGGGAGCGTCGTGACTTCGACCATGAGATCCATCTGAAGTTTTGCAAGAAGCTGTACTGGTTTCAGGTGAAACGTGGAGCTCATGCACACATTGAACATCCACACCGCAGTGCTGCCTGGGAAACACCAGCCTTTGCCAAACTTCCAGGTGAACGCACAACCTTTGATCAATGTGAATATGGTTCCACTACCACAGTTGATGATGATGAAGTACCAATCATGAAAACCACCTCCATTCAGACCACAAAACGTGCGATGTGTCGCATCATGTCCAAACTATGCTCAGGCAACCATCAACATGCCCGACTTGAAGGTGGAAGCCGTTGCAAGAAGGCTGAGAATTACCAATGCGAGCTTGCCTGGAATTTAGCTCCTGCCCTTCTTGAAGATGAAGGTTTGTCAGAGCAGGCCTATGCTGTTCAACAAGACGCTGAAGCTCAAGAGCTGACTGGAGTTCTTCGAAAACTTGGCACAAAGCATGGCTCTGAAGCGGTGCGCATTGCCTACCGCCTCCATCGAAACCTTGGGCATCCGAGAAAGGACACTTTGGTCCGCATGCTGCAGGCCAAGAATGCAGACCCAAAGGTCATCGCTGCAGCCGAAGCCCTTGAGTGCCCTTACTGCAACAAGTTTTCTTCTAGGAAACAATCAGCTCCAGCTCATGCTGAGCGTCCCATGGACTTCAATGAGCAGCTTCAGGCCGACACCTTGTGGTTTGATTTGAGCTCAGTTGAGCCTGATGCCCCTTCTGACAAAGTCGCCAAGCGGAAGATTGGCATGTTGGTCATGGTTGATTCTGCAACTCGCTTCATGGCTCTGCGAACCATTCCTGATGAATCAAGCAACTCCCTCATGAAAGCAGTTGAACGTGAATGGATTCGCTACTTTGGCCCTCCGAAGCAGCTGAGCGTTGATGAATGGTCTGGATGGGGCAGTGACGCTATGATGCAATGGTCTGGCGACCACGACATAGAGATGAAGATTTCCCCTGGGCAAAGTCATTCACGAACTTCAATTGTGGAGCGAAGACACCAACTCCTTCGCAAAGCACTCTCCATCTTCATGACAGAAAATGGACTATGTGGCCTTGATGGACTTCACACGGCCTTGAACTGGACTGTGCCCACATTGAATCAATGCACTTTTGTGAATGGATTTACCCCTATGCAACTTGCCCTGGGAAAACAACCAAATATGCCTGGACTCATCTCTGACGAGCGCACTGGTCCAATTCAACTTCAACAAACTGAACAAGATCGACTACGGCGACGACTTGAACTCAAAGCAAGTGCCCAAAATGCATGTGCTGTTGCGGAGATTGACGTCAAACTTCGACGTGCTCTACTCCGACGCTTTTCAGGTGCTGATGAAGATCTACAGCCAGGTGAACGATGCCTTTACTGGCGAGAAGTTGGCAATCGATTCCACACGGTTCAGTGGAAAGGCCCTGCCACGGTCGTTGCTGTTCAACGAGACCCAGACACTGGCACCATTGACACCTATTGGATTGCCCACGGCACTGTGCTCATCCGTGCCGGACGTCAACATGTTCGACGACTTGTTGGCCAAGAAGGTCTTGTCAATGGAGCTCAACGTGCTGAACAAGCCATTGCTGGTCTCCGTCAACGGCGAGTTGTCCGAACTGCCGACTTGCGGCGCAT